GTTTGACTTTTTATGTTGATTCTATTGAAGGTGCAATTAGTTGATCTCTCTCCGGGTGAGAACTACTTGGTAACTTACCATAGCCAGGAACCAAACAACTCAGCAAGATCGAAGTGTTAGTGCATTTTTTGCTTTTATCTCTTGTTTAAATTTCATATAAATGGATTGTAATTGAATGTATATCTTTACTTTACAGCAAGTTGAGATAAAGATCTTTGATGTGAGAAGTGGTAGATTAATGAGAGATTTCAAAGGAAGTAATGATGAGTTTTCGATTGGAGGAGAAGGCGTCTTATGGCCTGTTTTCAAGTAATTTTCTAAAACCAGATAAAATGTTTTGTCAAGATTTGTATACTATACTCAATTTCATTTACAATTTGTCAATCAATTTCTTCTGTAGATGGGCAGGTGGAAGAGATGATAAATACTTTGCTAGACTTAGAAAGAACACTATCTCTGTTTATGAGACCGAGACTTTCAGTTTAATCGAAAAGAAATCAATGAATGTTGATAATGTTGTTGACATTTGTTGGTCTCCTACTGATTCCATTCTTGCTATGTTTGTTCCTGAGCAATGTGATGGTAACCAACCTGCCAAGGTATGTTACAATGCCTTAAAAAAACCGCGGTTTTGGTTTCGATTTCTCTGTAATTTTACATGTTTGATATCTCTTTGTTTGATTCAGGTCGCTCTTGTTCTAATACCTAGCAAGGTTGAGCTAAGGCAGAAGAACCTTTTCAACGTGAGTGACTGCAAAATGTAATGGCAGAGCAAAGGAGAGTATCTCGCTGTCAAGGTGGATCGATACACATCGAAATCAAAGAAGAGCACACATTCAGGATTCGAGCTTTTCCGAGTTAAAGAAAAAGATATTCCAATAGAGGTTCTTGAGCTTGACGACAAGAAAGATAAGATCATTGATTTCGCTTGGGAGCCAAACGGTCACAGATTTGCCGTGATCCACGGTGACCAACCGAGGCCAGACGTGAGTTTCTACTCGATGCGGACCGCGAAAGAACACACTGGAAGAGTTTCAAAGCTCGTTACTCTCAAGACCAAGCAAGCTAATTCACTCTTCTGGTCTCCTACTGGCAAACACATAATCTTAGCTGATTGTTTAAATGGATTCAATGGAAAGCTTGAGTTTTACAATGTAGACGAGCTTATGACTATGACAACAGTTGAGAACTTCATGGCCACGGATATCAAGTGGGATCCAACTGGAAGGTAACCTTTGGTTCATTGTTTCCTGTTGAGACAAGACAAGAGTGATGTTGTCTCTGTGTCTTCTCTGTTTCTAATGTCTTCTATGTTTTAAAAAAAAAAAAATTTCAGGTATGTTGCAACCATAGTGACATCATTAGTCCACGAGATGGAGAGTGGATTTTACATTTGGTCCTTCACTGGGAAGTTGCTTTACCAAACAGTAAAGGAACATTTCTTTCAGGTATATAGATATACATAATCTCATACACTATTACTAGCTTCCATGGAATTGAATAAAGAAACAAATCAATAATGATTCTGTATTGGTTTTTCAGTTTGCTTGGCGTCCAAGACCACCGTCTTTGTTGTCAAAGCAACAGGAAGAAGAGTTGGTAAAGGATTTGAATAAGTACAGAGAGAAGTACGAGGAAGAAGACGATGACGTGTCGGTTTTGTTGAGCAAACAAGTGAAGGAGAAGAGAAGGAGGATGATGGGGGAATGGGAGATGTGGTTGAACAAGTGGAAGATGCTTCACGAGGAAGAGAATCTTGGTGACGAAGAGGAAGAAGAGTGTGATTATTATGAGACCAATGAGGACTTTATCGATGTCTCTGAAGAAGTCGTTACCTTCGAACTATGAGTTAAAAGTGTGATTTTCTCTTGTTTTGTTGTTCTTGTTGTGTCGGTAGTGTTATCTTTTCTTGGATATGTCTTTTGCTCTTTATGTCAGATTTGAAGAGAACTTTGGTTGCTTCTAATATTTTTTGAAAACGACACAACAGCCAGTTAGACATTACAAAAACAACAAGATGTTCGATTCAGACCAATACCAAGATGCAATTATATATAATTACATAGTATGGGGATTCTTAAGCAAAAAAGTATGAAAATATGATTATAGAGTTTTGCTCTTAGTTACGTTTTCAATCAAACATGACCTTCAATTTGCACTCGGACGAAGCTCTGGGAAGCTTTAGCAGATCTGCCAGGACTTGCATCTCTTTGTCCTTTGGTACCTGAGCACGAACTTCCACCTCCTCGAGACATGACAATTTCCCCAATAAATGCTTCATTTGTTCGAATTCTTCGACGGAACCATCGTAATCATTTATCTCTAAGACCTCCAGAGGACAAGACAATAAGAAAGAATACCCTGATACGCACTCGCAAACGAATTTATTTTCTCCTAGTCCACAGTGCAAAGAACCCTGAAACAAAATGGAAGAATTTGATAAGTACTTACATGATTCTCCGTATATGTTTGTCCAATGAACTTATGGGCAGGTATTCATACCTCGATGATGAGAGTCTTTAGATTTGGAGAGTTGTTTATCAGCAATACCATAGGAGACCAACAGTAGGTATGAAGTCTAACAATTATACGAGAGAGCTTTTCAAACACTGGGATTGCTTCAGGGAACACACCAAACATCTGAAACATACGAAAATCAACTAATTTATCAATCAATTGCAACCTCAATGGTTCCTAACTATAACTTATCTTCATGTTCTCTATTTCTTAATCTGGAGTAACATAATAAAGAGAAAGAAAACAATAGAGCACACTTACCTCAATCGTTTCAAAATTCAAGTCCAGAATCTCAACATTTCTTAACCCGTTAATCAGCTTCGTTGGATTGAAATCATGTGCATGTACTGTTCCCATACGCCATTTTCGTCCACACAAAGAGTGAGCTTGGCTTCAACAAGGGAGTTGAGATTAACAAATAGATACTCATTTGGAACATAATCAGAGTACTCTAAGTAGGTAAGACCCGGAAGATCAAAACTAATGTTGTTGAAATCATAGGCAAGTCCCCGACAATCCAATCTAATGATCTCATCCTCAGAGTCATCAACATAAGGTTGCCACACTTGACGTCGGATAGTAAGTCTTCTAAGGGTTGGGCTTGAGACAGTACGAGACCATATCCAGCGTTCCCACTCGATACCATCTAAAACTAATTCCTCAAGGAGAGGGGACGCAGAAAGAAGCGTTGTGAACGCACAACGACCAAAATCACAGAACAGAACTGAATCAAGAAAGAAGGTCTTGAGAGCTGGAAGACAAACATTGTCAGGGAGAATGTCAATAGCAAAACCAGGCCCGAGTGTCAGTTTTTCGACTGTATTGCAAGTAAAAACTTCCAAAGGCAGTGAATACCCTTCTTCGATATCGGTTTTCAGTTCAAGAACCAAGACACCACGTTTCAGCACATCGCATAGACAACGTTTCAAATTAACATATTGGTCAGTATGATCATACCGCCAATTTACAGAGAAATTCCTTATACGAGAAGTAGGTGGTAGAGCCAATACTCCATCCACAAAATCCTTAAAACCCCTTCCACCATTAATCAGTCTAAACGGTTCATCAAAGCGAAGATCTTGTATGATGGTTATCAGATTTCTCCACCTCTTTGAGAGAACTTTTGTGAAAGCAGCCTCCTTTGCGGATAGGAACGACCCGATGTGGCATATAATCTCGTCTGGTAGATTGCTGATTAGATCCATGACTTTTCGCAAAATCCCTAGAGAACCCTTTTCACTACCAAAAACCCCATTTCACTACTCATCAAAACTCACTTCCTAGTGGAGCTTCCAGAGATCACTACCAGTTTCAAAGCATATTACGTGCTTAATCCACAAATCGACACGAGAAATAGTCACAGATGCAGAAACAACGACGATCAATTCTTCACTAATACTATGATTGTCGATACCTTAGAGAAACGAAATTGCATCTTCAAAGCGAATTTCGACGAAGAAGTAGAGCAGAGAGTTTGGAGCAAATGTTCATACTTCACACTCAGTACCACCACCGATCTTCTGTGCGCAGGACCACGCTTACTTATTTGCTCGACTCTTATAATTGGGCTTAGTCAAAAATAGGCCCATCACAACGAGCCCACAAGATTTTTTACTATATTGTTTACTGACTTTTGGCTATTTGTAAGGTTGTTTGACTTGTACTTGTTGTACCGCCAAGCGGTATTGTACAGAGGACGTCAGATAAGCAACCGTAGACCCTCATCTGCATGACTGCCACGTGTCACAATCGCAATGATTCCTGCTAATTTGGTTTCACCAAAAAGTTGACAAAACAGCAGCTAACCAAAAGGAACAATATTAGGCCCACGAGATTTCTCCTTGCTTATGGATGGATATACATCTAATTTCTC